TGGTCCCAAAAGCCGAGTTCCTATTTCTTGCTCAAGAAACTGGTTTTTTTAATATGAATGTTTGCGTTGAGATCCCTATGAGTAACTAAATTCTCTATTTAGGGTTAGGGGATTGTCGTTCATGTTCGAAGTTTGCGCGATGTTGTTTTTTGAGCATAAAACAAGTTTCTTCTTCAAGAAATCAGTTTCTTGCTCAAGAAGCTGGTTTCTTTAATATGAATGTTTGTGTTGAAATCCCTATGAGTAACTAAATTCTCTATTTAGAGTTATGGGATTATCGTTCATGTTCGAAGTTTGCGCGATGTTGTTTCTTGAGCAGAAAACAGGTTTCTTGAGCAGAAAACATGTGTCTTGTTCAAGAAATCAATTTCTTGAGCAGAAAACAGGTTTCTTGTTCAAGAAACCAGTTTCTTGCTCAAGAAACTGGTTTCTTTAATGTTAATGTTTGTTTGAGATCCCTATATTGTCGTTTTAATTAAGTCAAAATATCATTCACAGTCGGTTGACTTTCCAACCGCGGTTGGCCGCGAGAGCACCTCAACCGCAGCCCAAAGTTCAGCCACGGCTCAAGATTGTCCTTGCTAGGTTGAAAGTTCAAAATATCATTCACAGCCGGTTGACTTCCCAACCGCGGTTGGCCGAGAGAGCACCTCAACCGCGGCTCGAAGTTCAACCGTGGCTGAAGACAGGTTTGATTATGGGCTCGTAAAGTTTGCGCCATGTTGTTTCTTGAGCAGAAAACAGGTTTATTGTCCAAGAAACCAGTTTCTTGAGCAAGAAACGAGTTTCTTGAGCAGAAAACTGGTTTATTGTCCAAGAAACCAGTTTCTTGATCAAGAAACGGGTTTCTTGAGCAGAAAACTGGTTTCTTGTTCAAGAAATCAATTTCTTGCTCACGAAACAGGTTTCTTGAGCAAGAAACATGTTTCTTCACAAGAATCTAGTTTTTGTTAGCCGCGGCCGCGACATATCCCGAAGCCGCGAGATTTTTAGACAGAAACTGGAGTGTTGTTCAAGAAATTATTTTTTGTTCAAAAAATTGTTTATTCTTCAACAAACCATTAATTCATCTCCTGAACTCCAACAAAAGTCATGAACTCCAAAACAAAACTCCTTTTTTTAAAGCACAAAAACCCTATTTTTTAACTCCAAAAAAATGAGTTCAACAAAATAAAATGTTACTAGACAAATCAATAATTTTGAAAACAAAATTAATGAATGTGTTAAAAAAAATTATTTAACATAATTGTTGACGAGCGTTTTCGGTCAACAGTTGAGATTAAAAGTATGGAAAGTGCAGGACTGGAAATAAAGGAAAGATATGGTTTAATTACGATTTTATTTAGTGATCACGAGGTCGGCCTCTCGTACGAGGTCGGCCCTTATGATATACTTACAATTCCTTAAAGGGGATTTCTTACAACTTAGAGAGAAAGTAGAGGAAAGCTTGAGTTAGTTGAGGATTCAATAACCCAAAATAAATGTGGTGGGCTGCTATTTATAGTACTCTTAAATGGGATACTGTTCACCGGTCTTGTCGTACAGTAGACTTGCAGAGCGGTTCGACGCCTTTCTGACAGTTCATTAATGCGATTTGAGGTTTTCCCAATCATTGCTTGCTTGACATTAAATGCAAGTATGGGTAGCATTTAATTCTGATTGAACGACTATGACGAGCCGTCCCATCAGCGAATGATGACCTCCCAAGTGGTGAATATTTTAGTGGCGACCGGACCGACACTATCCTTTGGCAGGGCGGCTCGAGCTTACTCAGATCGGCACCTTCGCTATTAAGGTCCGCGTGACCCGGGTGAGCCTTTCTTCAGTTCGGTGCCGAGATGAGACCGGCTCGGCTCCCAACATGTCCGGGTGCCGGGCTCGGGAAATGTTCCCTTCGACCCGTACTGTATATAGTTCCTTGGCTCAGGTTGGCTCCTGTGTTCCTGATCGGCCCGGCACTTTCCAGGAGTTCGGTCCCATATAACTCATGGGGCCGACCCGTTTGGTTCTGACCCGACCGATCCGGATGTCAACAATAATAAAAAAAAAAACAAAATTAGGTTGATGTTCATGTACCTTTTTTCTTCTCAAAAAGGGATTTCCTTGGTCATGTTGAAGATGATATTTGAAAGAGATCACTTGTAAGTGATTTTTGAGAAGATGAGATTTTTTTTTTTTTTACAAGAGCTGCAGAACATCAACAATGGAGGAGAGAGAGAGATGCAGTCGGCGTGCTTCACTATACAATAGACTCTTTTTTCTTTTTTTTTTTTTTAATATGTTTGGTAAAACATTAATAAGGGTACAATGGTATTTTTGCCTACCAAAATGACTATATTTTATCTTTCTTAAAAAGATGGCTAGATTTCATCTTTTCCTTTAAAAAAGTACTATAAAACGTTGGGACTCTTATATGTTTTAAGTTTAAAAAATTATCATAATATAACACATGTAGGTCACACAAATCAAAATTGTCATACTAAATATATAATATATATATATATATATTTAAAATATATTTAAAATTTTAACTACTTTTTCTCATTAATTTTAGATTTTAAGAAAAAATTCAAGTACCAGTGTGATCGGGCGTTGTACTAATACTAATAGCAATATTTTAAAATGACCCATTAAGATCGACACGTGTTGCTTTTCCTTTCAATTCAGGTGATCAACATGTGCACATAGGAACACACCTAGTTGGGCTTAATTTTTTTTTTTTTTCAAACGATCGACTAACTAGTCGGAAAAGGGAGGCTTACCGCTACGCGATAGCCTAATACACAAATACTATAAAACCACACAAAAACTAAAAGCTCGATTAATGGAGAATACCGACTTCCCAATAGGAGAATACACTCTCCCCAACGGGAAAATACACGGTTGGGCTTAATTTCATCCTACTCATTCATTGATTCATTTTGAGTAAAATAAAATATCTCGACCTTTTTTTTGTGTGGTCGCTATAAGTTGGACTGATTTTACTCCATCCTTTTTCAGTGTGCGAGTATGAGCACTGCGTTGCAGCCATGTTTGCCCAGGTGACTTTATTCATGTTTGTTTTCGTTAATCCTTTGAAATGTTTACTGCTAGAAAGGTTAATTTTCAGTGATTGATAGTTTATTCATGTGCGGTTGATTGGTAGGTTGAATTCGAAGAGAATCGAAAAGGCTCAACTCAGATCGGGTGCAAAAGAGTTCAATAAACCTATTGGGGTTTCAATTCCTGGTCACAAAGTGAATCGGAAGATATTTTCAGCATTACAGTCAAATGATTCCTCCGATGACGACGATGAAACTTCACCCCTCGAAAGACCACCCAACAGTGAAGAGGTACTTAGTGATGTTAAATTAAACGAGCCTGCTTCGGCTCGTTTGAGGCCTTAACGAGCCGAGGTCGAGCTCATTTAAATGTCGTTTGCCTAACGAGCCGAGCTTGGATCGGCTCGATAAGGCTCGAAAATATAATTTTTATATAATTTTTTATAGTTCGGCTCGTTAAGGCTCGAGCTCGAGGCCTTAACTAGCCGAGCTCGAGCTTGATTTCAGGCTCGTTAAGGGCTCAAGCTCGAGCTTGAGCACCCTAAGCTGGAGCTTGGCTCGGCTCATTTACAGGTACTATTACTCGATCAGCTTAGCATGTCAAAAATGTGTAATCATAGTTAACAATTTTAATGTTGTCATTTGTTTGCAGTTGAAGGCGTTACTTGCCGATTCTGAGAGATCGAAGCTCGTAAGGAAACTTAGTGAAGCAAATCAACAGAATAGGTTTCTCAAACGCCAGGTTTGAGATGAAAGACAAATGTCTCTTTCTTCATTGTGTGAATTAGTGACTGTCGTCGCCCTAAGAAAAGGTCAACTGATGATGCACTGAAATTTGGGAGTGTGATTTATATATATGTACCTTATTATTTGCATGGGATTGAGTAGTGAGTGAAGTATTTGATACAAATCGCGTGATTAGTAGAACTCTCAACGGCGCTTGTCAATGCAGTTACGAGTGAAGGAAGAT